TATATAGTAAAAAAGCTCTTAAAATCTTTATGGTTTTTCTACTTGCAAAAACATCACACTTATCTACAGCAAGACGCCGGTATTGCGACAGTACATGGCACGTGTGAACCGAAACCAGCGAAGGTTGGCCCTCGCCTTACTGACAAAATTAGCAATTGTTTATTCTAACCTATTTTCTAGCGTCTAGCACTAGTCTTCGTTAATAAACTGACGGAAGTAATAGCAGGTCTTAAGAAAAAGAGTTAACTTAACAGAGGGATGATATTGGTAGTGTTAATTAAAATTTGCTGTAATAGTAGATCATCTACGAATGATCAAATAAACTATATATTTACAATGAAATATGTATACTCATGGACGGAGACTCAACCTCAAACTTTAGGCAGAATACTTGTATTCAGTTCATTTTGACAGTGGATTCGTACTACGATTAAATTAACTTTGTAAAGCAATTTGTAGAAAAAAAGTTGAACACCATTTCAGTAGTCACACGTTTTGGAGATCTGTCACACCGTAACCTAGAGATGCCACTCATTTCATCTGGAAGCTGTTGTTATCTAAAGGATTTTGATGTCAAATTTTCGTTAAGTATCATCTATAGAAATATTTGGTACAGCTTATAAAGCTTGTTTCTTTTTTTCTGTACCACTTTACCATTATCGCCATTATTATTGTGTGGGTGGCAGCCATATAATGTACGAATTATGTTTATTTCCTGCTGCATCGGCACTGTGTTAATATTACTATCGCTGTTGTGAGAATATGACCGCAGTTTTAGAAGGAAAAAGCCGTAAGTAACATAAGCAGTAGCATTAGCAGCAGCTCTGTGATAATAGTAACCTAGTTAACCACTCAGCATCTCAGTTTCGTGCCTCCTGTCCAGTGTTACCATTTGAAATATAGTATCATGCACTGCCTAACGGACAGTGGGTGGCAGCAGGCTGCCTGCTGTCGTCGTCGCCGCGGCCGATGCTGGTGCTGCCGCCTATCTTGTTGCTAATGTTGTTGACGTTGGCTGCTGTAAAGGCTACCGGCCTTAAATGACGTATTGACTTTTACGTCAGTTAATCGATGGTACTGCTGCAATTGAGCGTCGACTGTTCTGAGATGAAGATGTCGATCCAGATGATTCAGCCGATTATTCTTCCTTCTCTTTTTCGTCAAGAAACCTTGGCCATTAAACGAATAGACATACAATAGAGGAAGAACTTCTGTTGTTCCGAATACGTTGGCAGTCATGGCAGAGACTGCAATTACGTTGTCGTCACTACCATTACCAGCGCCATGAGGAACAGCAGTGCTAAAAGCCACAACTACGACACTATTGCGGTTGGTCGGCAGGTCAAGGACCGACTTGCTACTGACTTTTCCGTTAGTAAAATGCTAGCGTTAGAGAGACATCACAACCAGCACTCTCCAGTCGTTTTGCTGTTGTTCTATTGTTTTTGTCGTCGTTGTTGTTCGTACAAAAAGACATGTTTGTCGCGTCTGACGTCTGCCGCTGCCGCTAAGCATCCCTACAACATGAAACGAAGTGTATCTATGTCCGGTTTCAAATCCAGAACACCTCACGCATGCCAGTAGTAGGCAGACGCGGTACTGCCACCGTATCAGAGACTGCTGTTTGTCCTAATGCTTATCTAATGGTCGAGATGACAATAGCTGCAGCACCACCAGCCGCGATGGTAGCTAATTTCGCTGGTATCCACAGACAAACAATCTGCGAATCGTGGGCCATTAGCCGACTGAGGAAAAGCATTTTCGGGGCCCGCGGAAGCGCTGCTGTAAATACATCTTGTAATATCTTGTATAAGTAGGGTAATCTTTTGATGTTTTACCTCCTTTAGCAGCCAATTGCGACATATATCTACATAGTGAGACCCAGTTAGCATTCAACAGATGCTGCAGAGCTATGCTAGGTAACCGATGAGAAGAACTAAACTGATCTTTGTAATGAGTAGAAAAACACTGAAGCAATTATGAAGTGTACAACAAAGACCCTTTAAGATGGCCTACATTTCAACTGGTGTTTAGAGCCTGGTAGGTCGATACATAGAACAAAGACCGTATACGCTCTATTACAAATAAACGGAGTACACGGCCACCATGGACAAGAAACAGGAAATTGGTGATATGTAAGTTTATAAAGTCTCAAACTGAGGAAAATATTATGGATATGTGGTGGTGATAGAATTATTGTGCTCGAGTGCTACAATGTTGACTGTTGTGCCTTCTTCTATCCCATATATAGACTTAATTATCCAACAATACAAGAAGCGACCTAGTCAAAGTAGACAGTGCCTATTTCCTCGAGTATGCTGCTATGGTAACTATAACTAACAAACAGGCTGACGCTGGTTCAAATTTCAGCGTTGCCAAATATTATGACCAGGTATTAATGATCAAGAAAATACGAGATAAAGGAGAATTATGGAAGATAAGGTATTAATATCAATATTAACAGCTGCTTGTGTAATTGTCATGCCATTTTATAGGTCTATTCGTAGAAACCCCGATAAGTACAGTAAAAGCCACTCTGACTGGACTCTTGGTGGGAGCAACTCCTTGATGCTATTCCGAGAAGCAGGTGATTCTGAAGACTTGCTCATTTAGAATGAATCACTACTAATGTTGAAGTAGAAAAAAACACAACGGATATGACGATGACGGCGATAGAAATAGCATCGTACAACAAATGCACATTTTTATTAAACAGTGAATGCAAGACTTATGTTTGTTACCAGTACAGGTATATATAGTTGCTTTGTTGCATAATTACAGGACTCGGTTTGAACTGGTCATGTTTGTGTATATATTTGTGCCTACATACTGTATGATCGGCTGTATATAGCTGTACATAGACAGCGTA